ACATGAAAGATGCTCGACCTCACTGTTAACCAAAGAAATACATGCTAAAACATTATTTATTAACTGTTAGATACATAGGGAAAAGACTGAAAGGATTTACATTACCCTATATTAAAGAGAACAGGAGAAACAGGTATTTTAAAACACTTTAATCTGACTTCCAGGAATTCAACTTCTAGGAAGTTATGTTATGAACTAGACAAGTATATACATAAGAATGTTCACTGCAGTGTTGTTTTAATGGAGGAGAATTGGAAACAACCAATTGCCTCTCAAAAGAAGCTTGTTTAAATTATGGCACATTTGTACAAAGGAATATTACACAGTCATTAAAAAGATATAAGTTGGCATGAAAAGATGAACAGAACATTTTAAGTGGAGAAAAAACAACTTTGATATAGCAAATGTAGTATAATCCCACTTTTATGGAAAAAGGAGGAAATATTTATAAATAGACTGAAAAATAATCTGCAGGTATATACTCCAACCTGTTAACAGTAGTTATTTCTGAGTGCAAGGGTCATGAGATTTTAACATTTTAATTTAAATACTTCTGAATTATTTTTTTCCATTTCATATGATTTTATACTCAGGGGGGAAAAGTTTGTTTCTTCCCCAAATGGAGAGGAAAGAAAGTGGAGGAGACAAATGAAATGATAATTGAAGTGAAACAACTTTAAAGGAATGTTTTCATCATGAAAGACCTGAGCTTGTTTCAGGCCCTGGGAAAAAAGCCAGTTTTAGAAAGAGACTGACAAGGTGAGGGGAATGTCCGTTGACCAAGGTCCCAGAGGGGCTGGAACAGAATACCAGCATAGTGACTTATTCTACAAAGAGGAAAGAAAGGAGGACAACATAAAATGAGGACGATTTTTTGAGGAAGAGGGCACAAAAGAAATTATAGCCAATGAACCCTATTGGTTTTCCCAATAGAATGGGAGAGAAGATAATTAGCTGAGCAGAAGGGTTGGGATTGGGAGCCAGAAGGACATAAAAGAGAGATATAGCTGCTGCTGAATGAGTGAAATACGGTATCAGAATGATCAGGTATACTTTTGAGATTCCTGGGCTCCATCCCAGATCTACAGAATAAGAGTCTCTGAGGCTGGTAGATCCTAACGCATGCTAAAATCTGGAACCTTTGAAATAAGATGTTAACTAAAGATGTGGGGCCACTGCATAGGCTATGTTGCAATTATATACAATAGGGTCAATCAATATACTTATACTTCTTCAACATCATATCCAGAGTTGAGCTTTGGCGATGTGGGTGTAAAACAAAGTCAATGGGTCAGTGAACCTGAGATGCTGGTAAGTGCATCATTAACCTGGGTGATGACTAGGTAAGAATTAGTTGGAGCGGAAGGCATTGAGGGACCAGAATTAATGAGGAGGATGTTAAGCAGAGTTAGGAAAGTCAGAGAGTGGGTGAGATATGAGGATTGGAAGTTATAGTCCGTGAGATAAGGCTTAGTGTTAAAGATTTTGAAAGAGAAACAGTCCTGGGTGGTGATACAGTCCCAACAGTGGCCATAAAGGGGCTTCTGAACTAGCATGGAGGTAAAGTTGGCCAAAGTAGGAGAGGTTGGGGAAGTGAGGTCGGAGTGCAAGGCAGTTACCCTTACAAACACCGGGCTTGAACCCTGGGATCCCACTAGCGTAGGCAAAGACGGTTACTCAAGGCAAAACCTGATAGAGAAGAGAATGTTGGAGAGAAGAATGTAGGGAGGAACAGTCGGGGAATTCAAAGAGCTGCACAGGCTGGTCCTGGGGATTCAACATGGCACTGCATTCAGGGAGCACGACAATCTCAGAACTGTTGGCAGCAGGATGAGTCAATCTGTTGGCAAATGCAGAGCCACCACTCAGATGTCCACGTGGTGAAGGCTGGAGTTTTGGTTCAGCACCTTGCACATACCTCTGTTTTACTATATGATGTATTCATTTGGAAGATTTTTTTCTCTTAGACTATGAATTTCTTAATAGTAGAGATCTTTCTTCCTTCTTTTTGAATCCCCACTGCTTAATGTTGTGTCTGACACATGGTGATACTCAGTAAAAAGTTTTTCTGGATAAATGAATGAAAGAAATTAAGCAGCCCCATGCTCCCAATTAGAACTTCAGAGTGAGAGTATTTCTACAAAGGGCCCCTCCCAGGCAGAGGAAGGAAAGGAATATTATTTATTTCTTACCTTCTTAGGATGCTTTTGAAAATTTTGTTTGGGTGCTGGCTAGAGAGTGTGAGTGAGCTATTTCTGATGTTAAGCTGTTCATGGCGATGGAGGTGAGAAATGTGACTGTCACCTGAAGGTAGAAAAAAAGAAATAATAAAGATTTCATCTCCTCTACCTAAGCATGAACTGTTCATTATCTCAGCTCAGCCTCTGTTTTCTGCAGGCTCTCTCCCTAGAGAAACTCCTCTTTACTCATAGCTTTAATTATTACCCCTATGAGTACACAGACTTTCCCTCTGTGTATGGACCCATGTCACTTCCCAATTTACATCTCTCAGAAGCATCCGAGGCTCAGCTTTGCACAAGCAGCATTAATGATCTTCCACTGCAATCCTGGTCCTCTGCCAGGGTTTCTTCTCCCACGGCTTAGCACCACATTCCCCAGCCAGCTAGGAACCCAGGAACAGATCTTGAAGAGTCCCTTTTCCTCATCTTCCACATCTAACCCACCAAGTTATTCCAATTTTTGTGTGTGTGTGTGACCGGCAACGGATCGCAACCCTCAGTGTCGCGCCCGTACCGGACCGGGACCAGCAATGGAATCGCAACCCTCGGTGTTGCCCCCGCACCTCGCTCAGCCAGTGAGCGGCCGGTCTGTATGTGGGATCCGAACCCTCGGCAGGAGCGCCGCTGCGCTTCCCAAGCAGCGCACTGTAGCAGTGCGCCACCGGGCCAGCCAAGTTATTCCAATTTTAAAATATAAAGAACTCTTGAATCTTTCCACCTTTCCACTGTCAAAGGTACAGCCCAGTCCTGGAATTCTGTAATACCCCTAGATGGGTCTACCTCTGCCCATTTCAGGTCCCCAGCAGTCCCTTCTCCATCTCACAGCTAGGATGACCTTTCCAAAACTCAGATCTGAGGGTGCCATATTCCTGCTTAAACCACCTCAATGACTTATTATGCTTTTAGCCCTAAGCTCTACTTACAGGGCTCTGCACTGTCTGACCCCTGCCCACAGTACCAGGTTTATTCTGCACACCACGCTCCTTCACTCTCTCTGGGGGGCAGCCACAGCAGGTTTCTCTCATTCTTTGATAGGGATCATGCTGTCCTGCACCCCCCCACACCCGAGGCATTTGTACACACTCTTCCTTCCCTACTTTTAGTGGTTAACCCCCACGCTTCTTTCTGATCTCAGCTTAGGCACGATTTCCTTGGAGAAACCATCAGAGCTTTCTCTGACAAGGTGAAGTGCATTGTTATATTCGCTCATAGAACTATGGCCCCCATCTTTACAACATACATCTCAGCTGTGATTTTGTATTTATGTGTGTGTGATCATCTCACTCAAGTCCATCTCCCTCACTAGACTCTACTCTCCGAGAAGGGCAGGAACGCTGTGTGCTTTTGCTAAGTGTAGTGTTTGGCACATAATGAGTATGTCATAAATATTTGTTCGATGAGTGAATGAAGAGACCAGAGAACACCCTGCTGTGTTATTAGTTGTAGTCACACTAATAAAGTCCTGTTTCTCTGGTCCATCCACTGGGACTTGGGAATAGTGTAACACTTCTAGACAATGGTATCCATGAGAACTTAACCAGGACTTAAAGCCAAAATGCTGGGTTTTTGTCCTGGTTCTGCAATGGTGGGGCCTCAGGTAAGTTATAACTTCTTAGATCTAAATTCTAAATTTCACCTACAGATGAGGGGTCTCCTTCTGCCCTTGGATTCTCACCAGCTGTTTCCCCCACATCCTCCCCACCCTCCCTTCCTGCCTGCCTCCTCAGTTAGAAGTGACCAATGGCCTCCTGCAGAGGTAGGGGAGGGCCTGAAACAAAGCTGGCTTCTCTGTGGGAGGATTGGAAGGACACGCACAGTGTGGTTACTAATTCCATGGGATCGCCTTGGTATTCATAAACTACTGCTGGATTCTATTTCTTCAGACAAACCAGTTTTGAAAAACAAGGCTTGAATATTTAGCAGGACAAGAAGCTAGTCCCAAATAGTTTGTTGCCCACAAGGATGTTAACTCATCAAATTTAAGTGGTATAACCTAGGGGCCTTGGTTTGGTGTATTTACCCCTTTTCTTGCTTAATTGGGATGCATACAGCAGATCTCTTTCTGGCTCAGCACTCTTCATGCAGTGTAGAATTTCAAACTGCTATTGTTTATTTTCTATGTATTTTGCTTAACTATTCCACTGTAAATGAAAGGACATAACTTGATATTCAAACTGGAATCCTTCTTCAGAAGAAACTCAAGAAGTTGCCCTCTCCATCTTTCTAATTCTTGGAACCCAAACTATCCTCAGCAGATGAAGTCCAGTTTCAGTAACCAAGAAGGTGACCCCATCCTGTCCTACAGATGTCCAGGGTGAAGCTCGCAGTGGTTTCTGTTTGTGAATTTCTTCATCTCTAGAATGGTCACCTGGTTCTTACTAACCTCAGAGAGGTGTCATGAAGTCACTGAGATGACACTGAAGACAAGGAGTGTGGTTAATCTTGTAGGATGATAAATCTGTATTTTCTTCAGTTTCTTCAGTTTGCAAACCTCCTTCAGAAAGAATATCTACACTAGATGTATCTATACGTGATTTGACAATTTCAAACTACACCCCTACCACCCACTTCCGAATAGGGGGACAAAAACATCAGAAGCCTGCAATTGTGTAACATGTTAATCTCTTCTGGCCCAGGGCCCATCGCTGTGGTTTGGCAACACAACCAGCACAACATCTCTTTTCTCATCTCTTGTCGGCGGTGGGGGGGGGGGTGGTGGGGTAGGGGGGTGGAGAACCAACAGAGAAAAAATACCTGGCAAATAAAGGTAATGATTAATCTATCAGGTACAAAAAGGATCGTTTTAGAGATTTCAGGTTCTAACTCACTAATTCAAACAAACAGCAATGCACAGTCAATGACAGTTTCACCACAAGAGGATTAAGTCACAGCCTCTAATTAAGACAGCATTTGTACAATTCGTACAGTCAGAGAATCACACCAGACCAGACATCTGCAGGAATCTGTGACCAGTTGTCAAAACTTCCATTTTCATGTGTGAGTGAAGGCGGGAACCAGAACAAGCAGGTATTGGAAAGGTGGTCTTTGGAGAGACTCCAAGATGCAGCCTGAGAAGGAACCGAAGGGGAAAAGCTTCAAGAACAGACTGGTCTTGAAGAGCAGCTTAGGTAAAGAAATACTTGCTGAGGTCCTGGGAACGTTTATAATGATCGTAAGTATTTCCTAAGTTCTGACACAAATAATGCCTCCCTAGCTGCCACACTGGTGTTGGAGAGTTTTGTTTTGGTTTATTTTCTCTAAGTTAGTTATCAGATTCATATCTTCCAGGAAGCAACAATTTATTTCTAGGCTGTTTGGCTAGTTAGTGGCCATAATACTAGGTTCTCATTTACTCATTGCATTTATCCAAAAAATTGGTGGGGGTGGAACAGGGGAGTAAAGTGCTTTCTTCATTTCATGGATTTACTTAGACTCTAAAATGGCTTTGTAATTTAAAAGTCAGTTGTTAGAAATTTTTTCATTGATTAATTGATTTGTATCATGCTTGCTTCCCATAAGCAATGGAGTGACACAGTCACCTGGAATAAGTATTCACAGCCAATAGATACTGATGGCAAGAAACGGCTCATTATGACAAGTGCCTGGCAAAGACTGTGTTGTCAGATCACTTGACTTTTAATAAATTATAAATTGCACTAAGTAGAAACAGTGCAATAGTCCAGCTTTGGTATTTTATCATTTTTTCCCTCTATTTAACTCAAGCTAATCTCTAAAGAACTTTAATTAGATGTTTATAAGAACCTTCTAGATATAACTGAGGGACTGATTCTAAGAATCTCTCGAGGATTTGTCCAGAGATTTACTCAGATATTAATAAAAGACTGGAAAGTTTACTGAAGTGGTATGGGTTTTCATCCTGTTGCATGTTCTAGCTTTCTCTGAATCCTGAAGTTTTAGTTGCAGCCAGATCATTTATGAACAGAAAACTATTGTTATGTGGCAACTGTTGATTTTAACTTGTTAATAATAATAATAATAATAAAAACCTGCTCAACGATTCCCTACTCCAGGTATAAATAATTTCATTTTTCTTAAGGTTACAAAGAATTGCCCATTAACTCTGTACATTAAAAGTTCTTTGTTTGCGGGCCGGCCCGGTGGCGCACTGCTACAGTGCGCCGCTTGGGAGCACGGCGGCGCTCCTGCCGAGGGTTCGGATCCCACATACAGACCGGCGGCTCACTGGCTGAGCGAGGTGCGGGCGCAACACCGAGGGTTGCGATCCTGTTGCCGGTCCCGGTCCGGTACGGGCGCGACACTGAGGGTTGCGATCCGTTGCCGGTCACGAAAAAAAGACAAAAAGGAAAAAAAAAAAAAAAGAAAGTCCAAGATTCTAAATCTGAACTGTGAAGAGGTAAACACCAAAGGTTCTAAGTGGGTTCTTGCCCTGATACCCTCATGGGGCCTAAGGAGGCCTGAAGCAGGAGGTTAAAGACAGAAGGCTCTCTCCCTTCAAATATGGTGATGAGGACAAGAGACGGGGAAGGGGGTTAACACTGACTGAGCACACTCTGTGTCCTGGCAATCTTCAATCCTTAAACAATCTCGCGAGGTAAAGGAATGGTTCTCGTTTTACAGATGAGGAAGTGAAGGCCTAGTTAAGCACCTTTCTCACAAGCAAGCCTGTGGCAAAGCTGGGTTTAGAATCCAATCTCTGGTTTCTCTTCACCACGCTGAAGTTATCATTCTCATGCATGCTTTTGAACTTTTACTATTGTCACCTATAAAAATATTGTTTGATAAGTTTTTAAAATTTACCTACATGGCTTCTCCAACTTGAGGTTTTCCCTCCAAAACCTTTTTGAGATTTATCTCTTTTGGAGCCTGTAGATGTTAATTCGTTTTAATTGTTGCATGGTATGGATGGTTTACAGAGCCATTCCTCTTGTGAACTGTTATGTCAATTGCCATTGGTCACAATTATCAGCACAGCTGCAATGAACATGTTCATACACATCTCCTCGTAAACATGTTCAAGAGCTTCTCTTAAGTATATATGCAGAAGTGGATCTGGTGGTTCTAGGGTGTGTGCATTTTTAACTTTATGTGTATTGTGAAATTGCTCTCCAAAGTGGTTTCAAATTTGTACCTACCAGCGGCAACATTAGAGCTTCCATTTTCCACACACTCAACCACCTGCGATATTATTCACCCTCATATTTTTGTTCATTTGACAGATAGGAAATAGAATTTTGCCAATAATTTTAATCAATTCCAGTGTAGTGATCGTCTTTTCATATGTTTACTGAACCTTTAGGTTTCCTCTTCCGTGAATTGCTTGCTCATGTCCTCTGCATATTTCTTTTTGGGGTGTTTTACTTTTTCTTAATGGTTATAGGATATTGCTATTTATTTTAAATCCAGACGCTGAAGATATTTTGTGTTTTCTTATTAAGGTTTAATGTTTTGCTTTTCATATTTGGGTCCTTAAATCATTAGAATTTATTTTGGTGTATGATGTAGGGTGGGTGTCTATTATCTAAGTCTGGAAGGATAGCTAATTATCCCAGTACCATTTTTGACCAGCCTATCTTACCTCCCCTGGTTGTGATGACATCTCTGTCACATACCAGTTTACACATGTATGTGGTTCTGTGTCTAGACTATTCAGTTCCATTGACATACTTGTCCAAACTTGCACAAATGCCATATATTTTTGTTATAATCACTTTCTAAATTCTTTTGTTTTCTGGTGTCTCTTGTCCTTATCATTTTTTTCAATATTGCTTCAGCTATTTTTAACTTTTTATTCCTCCACATAAATTGTAAGATCAGTTTATCGAGTTCCATAAATACACTGTAGAGATTTTAACTGAAATACATTGAATTTATATATTATTCAGATAGAACTGACATGTTTAGAGTACAGAATTTTCTCATCCATGAGCATACAATAGCTCTTCTTTTATGTCTGCTTTTTATATTTCTTACTAAAGTTTTATAATTTACTTTGTAATAGTCATATATATCTTTGTTAGATATATTTCTAGGTACCTTATAGATCTTGTTACTGTTGTGAATGGTACCTTTTTAAGTTTTTTTTTTTTTTTTGTCCTTTTTGAGACTGACCGCACCACACTCAGCCAGTGAGCGCTGTGAGCGCACCGGTCATCCCTATATAGGATCCGAACTTGCAGCGGGAGTGCTGCTGCGCTCCCAGCGCCGCACTCTCCCGAGTGCGCCACCGGCTTGGCCCCCTTTTTAAGTTTTTTTAAAACTATTTTTGAGGTCCGAGCCTGTGGCACACTTGGGAGAGTGCGGTGCTGGGAGTGCAGCAGCACTCCCGCCGCAGGTTCGGATCCTATATAGGGATGACCGGTGCGCTCACAGCGCTCACTGGCTGAGCACGGTGCAGCCAGTCTCAAAAAGGACAAAAAAAACCCAAAAAAAACTATTTTTGAAATTGGCAAATAATTCTATGTATTTATGCTGTACGGCATGATGTTCTGAAATATCAATACATTGTGGAATGGCTAATTTGAGCTAATTAACATATGTATTACCTCACATATATACTTTTTTTTTCTTTTTTGGTGAATACACTTAAAGTACAATTTCTTAGCAATTTTCAAGTATACGGTACATTGTTATTAACTATAGTCACCATGTTGTACAATAAATCCCTTGAACTAATTCCTCTTGTCTAACTGAAATTTTGTATCCTCTGGTCAACATCTCCCCGGTCCTCTCCCCACTGCACCAAACCCTGGTAACCACCGTTCTACTGTCTTCTTCTATGAGTTCCATTTTCTTAGATTCCACATATAAATGAGATCATGTCGTATTTGTCTCTCTGTGCCTGGCTTATTTCACTTAACATAATGTCCTTCAGTTCAGCTATGTTCTTGAAAGGATTTCTTTCTTTTTAAAGGTTCAATAGTATTGTGCATATATACTCTTTTCTTTTTGCATTCATCTGTCGACGGACACTTAGGTTGGTTCTATATCTTGGCTATTGTGAATAATGCTGCAATCAACATAGGAGTACAGATGTCTCTTCAACATACCGATTTCATTTCCTTTGAATATATACCCAGTAGTGGGGGATTGCTGGATCATATGGCACTTCTATTTTTAATTTTTTGAGGAACCTCCATACTGTTTTTCATAATGGCTGTACTAATTTACATTCCCATCAATGGCATGCAAGTATTCCCTTTTTTCCCTTTAAAAAAAACCATATTTTCTAATTGGTTATTATTAGGGTTTAGGAACAATATTGGTTTATGTATGTTGATTTTGTATTCAGCAAAGTTGGTAATTTTCTTATTATTCAAGTAAGATTATTTGACTATTCCATATAATCAGACCTGTCGATTATCATAGCCATTAGCTATATGTAGGCTACTAAATTAAAATTAAACTGAGATAAAATTTTAAAAAATAGGAGCTTCCAGGCAAGCAGGTGGAACAGACAGTCCCCAGCATCACTCTGTCCCACAAATCAGCCAATTTACCACTATTAAAAAGCAATGAAAGCCAAACTGGGGCTGCTTAGAGCTCAGGGGAAGAGGAGGAGAGACCTATAGAGTGCACGAAGGCAAGAGAAGCCATGATGAGAGAAAGAAAGAACTGCTCTGACCATTTCAAGCCCTGGCCACTTCCAGGCTGGAGCTGCTGAGCGCACAGAGCAGGAGCTGGCAAAAGCTGCAGCTAGGCCCTTCAGATGGAATTTTGCTTGGAGGCAGCAGGGGAGAAGAGGGCCTTGGTGGCCCCAGGCCAGCAAGATCACTAATGGGGTTCCCATGGACCCACATAGGAGCAAGGAGCCACAACGACTCAAAAAAAGGAGCCACACAGAAGCCAGTGAGTCATCACAAGGGACCAATGCATGGCCCGTCCCATGGGAAGTGTTTGGAGCACAGGTAGTGGGGGAAATAGGCCCACGGGAAGAAAACTGGGGCACAGCAAGGACAGCTGATCTGCCCCCAATCAGCACAGGACCACTCAGAGGAGACTGGTCAGGAATATAGAACTTTAGGGGGTACAGTTTGCTGAAAAGACTCAGGCCCAGACCAGAGTTTCTACACAACCTAGGTGCACCAGATCTCACGCGACCTGGAAGTACCTACAAAGTCAGCCATTAAACCCTGAACTGCACAAAAAGCCTTCTGTAGGGAACCAGCAGCAAAGCAGCAATTTAACTCAACC